CGTGCACGCGTCTCGGAACCGATGATGCCGCCGACGTCACACTCAAGGAATGGAAGGGCAAGGGTCTACTCGGGCATCCGTTTTCCACCTCACCGGTCTTGATAGGCTTCGTTTTGATGAACCTCATCAACGCAGACATCGCTCTCGTCGTGCGCTTCACCATCTGCTCGTCGTACGATAGCCATGCGCCCGGTTCCACAAGCTTGCTCCAGCACTCGTTCAACACGTCCTCCAGCTCTCTGCCAAGAGTAGCAGATACAAATCATTTGCAGTGTCTGACAGGGTGCACACTTGTAATGCAAACACAGAACCGTCGAACCGCGGCATCGCCGGAGCTACCCGGCGGGATGGAAGTACTTATTGCAGTTAGTAATACTACTCGGAGCCGGGGGGGGGGGCGCTGGACATACATGCGTATTGCTCCCCCAGCTATCTGTAGGCAATGAATTTAAGGGATTTGTACATCCCTCTCCAGATCTCTGATCGGGGTAACCGTCCCGGGTACTCTCTCTACTCACCCAGAGTTCTTAATAAAAATACATCTACCACTGCTGTGAATGTCTCGGTCACAACTGTGTTTACATTTCGGGCAGGTGAACACCTCTTCTGCTTTCATCTTCCAGTTGATAAAACCACATCTGTCACACAGCTTGGTTGTCAGTTGTTCAGGTACGATCGCAACTTTCTTCCCGTGGTCATTCCCCTTGTTGATCAATCTCTGCCTGAACTGATAGTGTTTCAAACTAGAATGCAGAGTTTCTGATTTCGGTGTGATTTTGTCTTCATCACACCGTACGAAAGTCTACCGACCATGATGACATCTTAGTTATTACGGACCAAGTAGAGGGCGACCTTGTAATGCATCTCATCGACCAGGTTGGCGATCCTTTTGGATACCTTCCGCCACCCCTTGGTCAATTTCGATTTTGACTCCTTCAATTTCTTGAGACACTCCCTCTTCTTGATGAGCCTTGAAAGCTTTTCTCCCGCTTCTTCGCCGATAAAACCAATCGAACCATCGGGAGAATAAAACGATCCGAACTTCCGTGACCCCATGTCCAAAGAAACAACCCTGAGTCCGTCGGACTTGGGAGTGACGGGTGTTGTCTTCGTCACAGTCGCGTAGTAGACACCTCGGTCTCTCACAATTTCCGGCAGAAGGCCATCATCGCTTACCAGCTCTTCTCCTAACAGGATATTTTCGTCGAACTCCTTGAAGGTTAGGTGTACACTAGACCCGTGTATACGAGAGGCTTTCTTTTGAAGACCGATCCTCTGTTTCTGATTGAAGTTGCTCCGAAAGTGGAGGGAACCGGTTTCACGCGTTTCGACGCCCTTCTGTGCTGCGACAAATTGATCCACTGCTTTCTGCCTCACATGCTCCGGAGTCCTTAGAGTTTTCTCCATTGTCTTGTCCATGCACGGTGCTCTTATCGCCTTGTCCCTGATTTTAGATGTCGAGACACCGTCAATCAGCTTGCGAACACACTCGTTGTAGACTCTCCGGCCGTCGGACATGTACTTGGTGAGAATCTTTTTTTGCTTTCTCGTAGGATACATCCGGGCCTTCTTCGCTCGAGTGAAATGGGGTTCGATGTCCGAAAGCTTCTCCCGGATGGTCTCGACGAGGGCGTCTTGTGATTTGAGTAGTTTTTCGATTGGTTCTTCACTGGCACCGGAGGGTTTGTCAAAGTCTTGAATCGCTTGTCGGATCAAAACGAATTCGGCCATTTCAGTTTTGGAGAGGCTTTTGGTGTGCTCCTTCTTCTCTATAAAGTCAGACGTCCGCGTTTTCTTTTCCAGGGTTCTTTTTTCCGAATTGTGTTGTATCCTTTGGATGAGCTGGTCCATTCTTTGACTCAGAAACTCCCGAAGGTGCTGTGTCGAGCGACTCGAGCATGACGACATCTTCGCAATCCTCAACTGAACCAGAGCTAACCGAAGTTTCACCGTGTTCAGCGCCCCCCTCTGTATAGCGTTTCCTTTTGCCGGTGCTTCTTTTTCCATCGAGTCTCGAACTGAAAACGTGGACGACGGCCATGAGGTCCTCCATGAGCTCTGTCTCTGCAGAACCGTTTTCGTTTTGATTGAGAACCACAAGTTCTGTGTTGTTTTCGTCACAGACGAACTGGATGATTTCGAAAGCAAATCTGCACAGTCTGTCCTTGTAGGCAACCAGCACGCGATCGATCTGTCCTTGCATGATACATCGTAGAAGCTTTTTGAAGCCCTTCCTTTTAAAGTTGAGTCCGGATCCGATGTCAGATAGTATCGATATCCCCGGGCACGAATCTCTGATGAATTGTTCTTGTCTCCCGAGATCTCCTTTCTGCTTTGCGGACGACACTCTCGCGTATCCGATGTCGATGCGGGACGCGTTCCTTTTATCTTTTGCCATTCTTCTTGCACAAAGCCTGGCCTCCTCTGATCGGAGCGCTTGCGTTTTTTGGAAGGTTTCGATGTCGTAAAGACGCTGGCCACCCGGGGTTCTAATAGTCGGGATCGCTTCGAGCTTGTCCCATTTTCTAAGGGTAACGTTGGAGACCCCGAGACGTTCGATGGCAGTCTTGGTGTTGACATATGCCATGAGGCGTGTGTGTATAAACACCGGCAACATAATAAATATTGTATTTCGTACGAACGACAACCACATTTAAAACCGAACTTCCGTTGAGTTACGCTTTTTTCAAGCTGTAAACGAAAATCAAACAAGACACTTTTCTCTCGACATATACGCTCAAGTGTAAGTGCATGCCACGCGGCCACAGATGATACCGTGTCTCTTTGCCGGATCTTGCAAATGTGTACCTCGATCTCACCACAGCAGATATCCTAACAAAATACAGGATGAACAACAACCACGGACCAATCATCGACGACGACACCAGCTCGGACACCGACAGTGTCGGTGGCTCCGAGACCCACGATTCAGCACAGGTCGTGCACGAAATTCCGGCTGATCTGGACACCGGGCTGGAAGACACTGAGCTCGAAGATCCCGCGCCGACGGCACATGGTTCTGACAGCGACGGAGCCAGTGTCGCGGAAACGGAGCTCGACGAGTCCGCGCACATGGCTCATGGCTCAACCGACGACGATGGTCATGATACCGCCACCGCCACCACGCCAAAGCGCCGCCGCCGCAACAGCAGCAGCAGCAGCAGCAGCAGCAACATCAACAGCAGCCGCTATTTCAGCAACGGCAGCATGCTGGGCACGCCTACTCGTGCTCAGTTCAAGAGGACGAGGAAGCTACGTGATCACCTGTCTCCCCCCAGGTCTTGCAGGCTGGCCATGCGCCGGCTTGAGGACCACAACGGCCTTCCCTGAATGCTGCAGAGATCAGAGTCGAAAGATCCGGGAGCACTTTTTTTTCGAATTCTCGGTTCGGACGTTAGTAAGGGACCATATTTGATATTTTTTTATTGGAACAATAAGAGAAGCAAACCATGAACAACCGCGACTTTGTTCCACAGTGCGCAGCCCGAGGATGCGCAAAGGCGTGCCCCAAACTTGGAAGTGGACAATTTGGTACGAGATGCAATTCACTAAAGTTGCCCTGATAACAACGGACCCTCTTGTCGAAACAAGTTCGATAAGGGCTGCCAGAATAAGTCATTTGAAAGCTTCAATTTTTGTGGAAATTCCTGTCGCTATGGAGCCGGCCTGCCGCACTCGCGTCGGTGTCAAAACCTGGGGTGTAATGGTGCGACCGACGGAAATTCTCCTCAATGTACTAATTGCCAAGGTGGCGGCGGAGGAGGGGGTGGTCAGGGTGCAGGCACCGGCGGGACCGCACGCTGGGGTTCAGGTAGCGGGGGAGGTGGAGGTGGTCAGGGTGCAGGCACCGGCGGGGCCGCACGCCGGGATTCGTCTAGCGGAGGAGGTGGAGGTGGTTATGGTGCGGGTGGTGCAGGTACTCTTGGTGGTTGTAAAGAGTACGTGGCATCACCAGGCAACGATAACCGTGGAATGGTGGCTTTTTTTGTTGTTCTAACTTGCCCACTAACGCAATGGTCCGCCCACCCGTTCCAAAGCATCGATCCCGTGACTAATCGCACAGAGACTTTCCATACCGCTGAACATTTCATGATGGCGGAAAAAGCTAAAATCGCTCGAGACCCTGTCAAGCGGCAAGCCATACTTTTGAACACTTGTCCTCAACACGCTAAACGCATCGGCAGGACCCTGATTTTCCCAGGACAAACCTGGAAAGAGTGGGAAACCAAACGAGAAGATGTTGTATTTGCGGGAAATATGCTCAAGTTTGGCCAAAACAATGATGCTGCGAACTATCAAGACCCGAAAATCCAAAATAAACAGAACTGGACCGGTCAGAACACACTCGGCGACGTTCTCATGATGGTTCGCAATTTTATATGATTTGAGTCGATGACTGACTGGTACGTCGAGCGTGCTTTGGGGGCGCCTTGTAAACGAGCTTGCGCTTCTTGTCGCTCCAGCCGCTCATCCGACGCATGTTGTCGGTCACGCTGACAGCGATGTTGTTGAGAATGCGCCTCCTTTCGTACAACTTCCTTTGCTCGGGAAAGGCGGAGTCCTTGTAGGCAAGGATACTGTCTGTGTACATGTATGATCGAAGTAGTATGCCGGAATCGTCTGTCTGAACATGCTCACAGCTTCCCGAGTCTTCTTAACCAAGATTTGTAGAATCTCATCGTATGCCTCTTCCCTGGGGACGGTGATCCACCCTTTGCGGCTGCAGCACACCCTGGCGTTCTTGTCCCCTTTGCGCACCCTGAAGTTAATGTTTTGGTGAAGTGAGTAGAGCTTCAACCCAAACTTATTGAAGACATCGATACCGGGAAGGGGTCTCAGCAAATCGGCGATGAAGTCGCTAGTGGCGTGTTGCAGAGACTCCTTGCCCAAAGGGTGCACGAATACCGCGGTGGTGTTGGCTTTGACCTCAATTTTCTTATTTCCACAAACTGGCTTGGCGCGCCACTCTTCCTGTGGCTCGCTTATGGGGGCATCAAACGTGGAGATATCGGTAAAAACTATGTGGCCCTCCAGTGCTTTGGCGAGCATGATGTCGGACATGCGCTCTGCGCCTTGGGCGTACACGTACACAAAGCCGTCACGGTACCATATTCCGAGGTAGATGAGCTTCGGACACTGCGTGCGGACGGACTCCAGTATAGTGATCAAGTCAAAGCAAGATAGGTTGGCCCTCACCGCCAGCTTCCTGTTGCGCAGCGCCATTTATCCTATCACCACACAATACTAATGCTCATTTTTACGCACGGAATACTGCGAGTCTGTCGCGACAATATTGACAATCACCATTGTCAACTTTAGGAAAACCAACTATAAAGTATCATCCTCAAGTGAAAATCCGAAAAAAATCCTTAAAACCACTCCTGACCCGTAAAAGTTATCGAAATACTAAATAAGCGTCGACGAAAGACGCGACGACATCGACGAGGGCACGTATTCTTCAGTGGTGAGAAATGTTGCGTCATATATTGGCAATGGGTCTTACGGACAACCCTTCTCGACCAAGCGTCAACCGAACATCAGGCGTCAACGTTATCGAAATACTAAGCGTAGACGTCGTCGGACACGTGAACGTCATCGAAATACTAAGCGTCGACGTCGTCGGACGCGTGAACGTCATCGAAATACTAAGCGTCGACGTAGTCGGACGCGTCAAAGTTATCGAAATACAAAGCGTTGACGTCGTCGGACGCGTGAGCATCATCGAAATACGGTGGCGTCGACGGTGACGACATCGACACTTTCTGCGACGATGATGCTTTCGATGACGTTGACGTCTGTGAGGGGTTTGCCACAAGGCCCATTGCCAATATACGACGCAACAGTTCTCACCACTGAACTTGGGTCTTCTGCACAGTATTGCTGCTAAAAGGGGCAACACCCGGCTGCGTGACCAGAGAAACTGCCAATTGGCTGCTGGTACAAACGGGGAGCGTTGTGCTGTCATTCGAGGACGTCTAAGTGGAATGATGTACTGTGTTACCCGTGCTTCAAGCTCCACTAACGTGATATAATTTCGGAAATTTGAAACTTTTCCAAAAAGAAATCAGGTTGTCTGATCAGAAATCCTGCACCTAGCTTTTTCATGGTCGACCTATGATCGGAGTTTCACCTCTGGATTTTTCTTACGGTGGTAAAACAACAAATTGATCTCTTGGATGGGAAGAATACGTGCCCTCTTCGATGTCGTCGCGTCTTCCCTCGACACTCAGTATTTCGATAACGTTCACGCGTCCGAAGACCTCGACGCTTAGTATTTCGATGACGATCACGCGTCCGACGACGCCGACGCTTAGTATTTTGATGACGTTCACGCGTCCGACGATGTCGACGCTTAGTATTTCGATAACGTTCACGCCTGATGTTTGGTTGACGCTTGACACTGGAGGGTTTTCTGTAAGACTCATTGCCAATATACGACGCAACAGTTCTCACCACTGAACTTTGGTTTTCTGCACAGTATTGCTGCTAAAAAGGGGTAACACCCGGCTGCGTGACCAGAGAAACTGCCAATTGGCTCTTGGTACAAATGGGGAGAGTTGTGGTGTCATCCGAGGGCGTCTAAATGGAACAATGTGCCGTGTTACCCGTGCTTCAAGCTCCACTAACGTGATATATTTTCGGAAATTTGAAACTTTTCCAAAAAGAAATCAGGTTGTCTGATCACAAATCCTGCACCTAGTTTTTTCATGGTCGACCTATGATCGGAGTTTCACCTCTGGTTTTTTCTTCAGGTGGTGAAACAACAAATTGATCTCTTGGATGAGAAGAATACGGGCCCCCTTCGATGTCGTCGCGTCTTCCGTCGACGCTTAGTATTTCGATGACGTTAACGCGTCCGACGACGTCGACGCTTAGTATTTCGACAACGTTGACGCCTGATGTTTGGTTGACGCTTGACACTGGAGGGCATTCCGTAAGATTCATTGCCAGTATACGACGCAACATTGCTCACCACTGAACTTCGGTTTCTGCACAGTATTGCTGCTGAAAGGGGTAACACCCGGCTGCGTGACCAGAGAAACTGCCAATTGGCTGCTGGTTTAAACGGGGAGCGTTGTGATGTCATCCGAGGGCGTCTAAATGGAATGATGTGCCGTGCTACCCGTGCTTCAAGCTCCACTAACGTGATATATTTTCGGAAATTTAAAATTTTTCCAAAAAGAAATGAGGTTGTCTGATCACACATTTTGGAGCTAGTATTTTCATGGTCGACCTATGATCGGAGTTTCACCTCTGGTTTTTTCTTCAGGTGGTGAAACAACAAATTGATCTCTTGGATGAGAAGAATACGGGCCCCCTTCGATGTCGTCGAGTCTTCCGTCGACGCTTAGTATTTCGATGACGTTCACGCGTCCGACGACGTCGACGCTCAGTATTTCGATGACGTTGACGCCTGATGTTTGGTTGACGCTTGGTCCGGGAGGGTTTTCCGTAAGACCCATTGCCAATATACGACGCAGCATTTCTCACCACTGAACCTGGGTTTTCTGCACAGTATTGCTGTCAAAAGGGGTAACACCCGGCTGCGTGACCAGAGAAACTGCCAATTGGCTCTTGGTACAAATGGGGAGAGTTGTGATGTCATCCGAGGGCGTCTAAATGGAATGATGTGCCGTGTTGCCCGTGCTTCAAGCTCCACTAACGTGATATATTTTCGGAAATTTGAAACTTTTCCAAAAAGAAATCAGGTTGTCTGATCAGAAATCCTAGATCCTGGAGCTAGTTTTTTCATGGTCGACCTAGTATTGGAGTTTCACAACTGTTTTTTCTCAAGGTGGTGAAACAACAAATTGATCTCTTGGATGAGAAGAATACGTGCCCCCTTCGATGTCGTCGCGTCTTCCGTCGACGCTTAGTATTTCGATAACGTTCACGCGTCCGACGACGTCGACGCTTAGTATTTCGATGACGTTCACGCGTCCGACGACGTCGACGCTTAGTATTTCGATGACGTTCACGCGTCCGACGACGTCGACGCTTAGTATTTCGATGACGTTCACGCGTCCGACGACGTCGACGCTTAGTATTTCGATGACGTTCACGCGTCCGACGACGTCGACGCTTAGTATTTCGATGACGTTCACGCGTCCGACGACGTCGACGCTTAGTATTTCGATGACGTTCACGCGTCCGACGACGTCGACGCTTAGTATTTCGATGACGTTCACGCGTCCGACGACGTCGACGCTTAGTATTTCGATGACGTTCACGCGTCCGACGACGTCGACGCTTAGTATTTCGATGACGTTCACGCGTCCGACGACGTCGACGCTTAGTATTTCGATGACGTTCACGCGTCCGACGACGTCGACGCTTAGTATTTCGATGACGTTCACGCGTCCGACGACGTCGACGCTTAGTATTTCGATGACGTTCACGCGTCCGACGACGTCGACGCTTAGTATTTCGATGACGTTCACGCGTCCGACGACGTCGACGCTTAGTATTTCGATGACGTTCACGCGTCCGACGACGTCGACGCTTAGTATTTCGATGACGTTCACGCGTCCGACGACGTCGACGCTTAGTATTTCGATGACGTTCACGCGTCCGACGACGTCGACGCTTAGTATTTCGATGACGTTCACGCGTCCGACGACGTCGACGCTTAGTATTTCGATGACGTTCACGCGTCCGACGACGTCGACGCTTAGTATTTCGATGACGTTCACGCGTCCGACGACGTCGACGCTTAGTATTTCGATGACGTTCACGCGTCCGACGACGTCGACGCTTAGTATTTCGATGACGTTCACGCGTCCGACGACGTCGACGCTTAGTATTTCGATGACGTTCACGCGTCCGACGACGTCGACGCTTAGTATTTCGATGACGTTCACGCGTCCGACGACGTCGACGCTTAGTATTTCGATGACGTTCACGCGTCCGACGACGTCGACGCTTAGTATTTCGATGACGTTCACGCGTCCGACGACGTCGACGCTTAGTATTTCGATGACGTTCACGCGTCCGACGACGTCGACGCTTAGTATTTCGATGACGTTCACGCGTCCGACGACGTCGACGCTTAGTATTTCGATGACGTTCACGCGTCCGACGACGTCGACGCTTAGTATTTCGATGACGTTCACGCGTCCGACGACGTCGACGCTTAGTATTTCGATGACGTTCACGCGTCCGACGACGTCGACGCTTAGTATTTCGATGACGTTCACGCGTCCGACGACGTCGACGCTTAGTATTTCGATGACGTTCACGCGTCCGACGACGTCGACGCTTAGTATTTCGATGACGTTCACGCGTCCGACGACGTCGACGCTTAGTATTTCGATGACGTTCACGCGTCCGACGACGTCGACGCTTAGTATTTCGATGACGTTGACGCCTGATGTTTGGTTGACGCTTGGTCCGGGAGGGTTTTCCGTAAGACCCATTGCCAATATACGACGCAGCATTTCTCACCACTGAACCTGGGTTTTCTGCACAGTATTGCTGTCAAAAGGGGTAACACCCGGCTGCGTGACCAGAGAAACTGCCAATTGGCTCTTGGTACAAATGGGGAGAGTTGTGATGTCATCCGAGGGCGTCTAAATGGAATGATGTGCCGTGTTGCCCGTGCTTCAAGCTCCACTAACGGGATATATTTTCGGAAATTTGAAACTTTTCCAAAAAGAAATCAGGTTGTCTGATCAGAATTCCTGCACCTAGTGTTTTCATGGTCAACCTATGATCGGAGTTTCACCTCTAGTTTTTTCTTCAGGTGGTGGAACAACAAAATGATCTCTTGGATGAGAAGAACACGTGCCCCCTTCGATGTCGTCGAGTCTTCCGTCGACGCTCAGTATTTCGATAACGTTCACGCGTCCGACGACGTCGACGCTTAGTATTTCGATGACGTTGACGCCTGATGTTTGGTTGACGCTTGATCCGGGAGTGTATTCCGTAAGACCCATCGCCAATATACGACGCAGCATTTGTCAACACTGAACTTTGGTGTTCTGACAGTATTGCTGTCAAAATGGGTAACACCGGGCTGCGTGACCAGAGAAACTGCCAATTGGCTCTTGGTACAAATTGGGAGAGTTGTGGTGTCATCCGAGGGCGTCTAAATGGAACAATGTGCCGTGCTACCCGTGCTTCAAGCTCCACTAATGTTATATATTTTCAGAAATTTGAAACTTTTCCACAAAGAAATCAGGTTGTCTGATCACACATCCTGGATCTGTTTTTTTCATGGTCGACCTATGATCGGAGTTTCACCTCTGGTTTGTTCTTCAGGTGGTGAAACAACAAATTGATCTCTTGGATGAGAAGAATACGGGCCCCCTTCGATGTCGTCGAGTCTTCCGTCGACGCTTAGTATTTCGATGACGTTCACGCGTCCGACGACGTCGACGCTTAGAATTTCGATGACGTTGACGCCTGATGTTTGGTTGACGCTTGGTCCGGGAGGGTTTTCCGTAAGACCCATTGCCAATATACGACGCAGCATTTCTCACCACTGAACTTGGGTTTTCTGACAGTATTGCTGTCAAAAGGGGTAACACCCGGCTGCGTGACCAGAGAAACTGCCAATTGGCTCTTGGTACAAATTGGGAGAGTTGTGGTGTCATCCGAGGGCGTCTAAATGGAATGATGTGCCGTGTTGCCCGTGCTTCAAGCTCCACTAACGGGATATATTTTCGGAAATTTGAAACTTTTCCAAAAAGAAATCAGGTTGTCTGATCAGAAATCCTGGAGCTAGTTTTTTCATGGTCGACCTATGATCGGAGTTTCACCTCTGGTTTGTTCTTCAGGTGGTGAAACAACAAATTGATCTCTTGGATGAGAAGAATACGTGCCCCCTTCGATGTCGTCGCGTCTTCCGTCGACGCTCAGGATTTCGATGACGTTCACGCGTTCTAAGACGTCGACGCTTAGAATTTTCGATAACGTTTACGCCTGATGTTTGGTTGACGCTTGACACGGGAGGGTTTTCTGTAAGACCCATCGCCAATATACGACGCAGCA